GTACAACTCAAGCGTTAGTGGGGCCCATCTGTCCAAGTTATTTTTTATTTTATTAGTCATAGAACCATAATTTACTTTGTATATTTTGTTTAAAATTTTGGTAATATTAACACCTAAATATTTCATGATTTTTGTTTTCCAGTTAAATTTGAACCGATTACTTATATCCTCTTGGGGTGAGTAATTAAAGCAGAGGGTCTGAGTTTTTCCAATATTTAATTTATAACCTGAATAAAGTCCAAATTGGTGGAGGCAGGACATGACGTGAGGTAGACTGGCATCTGGGTCAGATAAGGTCACCAGAACATCATCAGAGTATAGACATGTTTTGTATTCTCTTCCCTTAATTATGATTCTCTTAATTTCTGGGTCCTCCCTATTTTTTTGAGCAAGTGGCTCTATAAAGAGTGCAAAGAGAATTGGGCTCAGAGGGCATCCTTGTCGGCATCCTCGTTCCAGTGGGAATGTGCCTGAAAGGCCGGCATTTAATTTGATCCTTGCTACTGGCGAACTGTATATTGATTTTAAGCAACTTGTGATTGTGTTGTTAAAGCCAAACCGCTGTAGAACCAGATATAAGTATTCCCATCTTACAGAATCAAAGGCTTTTTCAGCGTCAAAACTAATTGCTAAAGATTTTAAATTATTTCTGCTCATAATGTTGAACAAGTGTAACGTTAGCCTCACATTATCCTGTGTATATCTATTTTTAACAAATCCTGTCTTGTCTGTGTCAATCAATTCGGGGATAATATTTTCTAGTCTACTGACAATTATTGAAGTGAATATTTTATAATCAATGTTCAAGATAGAAATGGGCCGGTATGAGCTACATTCACTTTTGTCCTTTCCTGGTTTTGGTATAACGGATATTATCGCTTGTTTCCAGGATGGTGGAATCTCACCTCCTTTAAGGACATGATTAAAACATTTTAACAGCAACGGTGTTATAGGTCTCCTAAAAGTTTTGTACCATTCAGCTGGCAATCCGTCACCACCGGGTGACTTACTTGTTTTTGGCGATACGATACATATCACGACAGAGGGGTCACGATACGATATATCCCGATATATTTCGATACTGTAAACAAGGCGATATATTGCAATATTTTTTGGTCCAAAAATTCTATTAAATAAAAACCTCTTACTGGGAAAAAAATTCATTGTCTCAGAAAATTCTAATATTAGATAGACATACTTTTGATACATTTAGCTGTGTTCTGCTTTGTATGTGTTTTATTTTATTTGTTTCATATTTCATCCATGTTTTCAATTATTAGACTAAATTTGCCAATAAATAGTTTGAAAATATATTTTTTGCAGCTTTTCGTTTTTAATATTAATTAACAATATGGCCACCCAACACTTAAAAGCATTTATGTTGTCATAAAGTTCAGTAAACAGATGATATGAAGCTGCTGCACACAGAGTTTCTGGGATCAGCTGACCTGCATCCAGAACCTGATTTGCATAACTGTGGGTCGAACAGCAGGGCAAGTCCCGAAGAAAACCAGTTAAGAAATCGAGAAGCTAAACGAGTTAAACCGTTTTTGAAGCGAACACGCAGGATAAAGTACATGGACTTCGATGCGATCATCAGCCGGACATTAGCTATGTTTACATGCACAAAATTTTTAAATCGGATTTAAATGTATTCAGATTAAATAATCCGAATGTACTGTTTACATGGACACAATCCGATCATGAAAAGTGTTTACATGCACCGGAGTTTTATTCAGAATAAAAGTCCGGACATGCGCAGTGTTGTAAACGTTCAGCTCTACTTCCGTGTTTCAACCGTAAACAACGCTCCTCTGTGTGCTCAGGACGGACCCGTGTCAGCTTTTAATAATGGTAGAGACGTTGTTACTCGTCTCCTCATTTGAGACACCCCGCCCATGACTCCTGCAGGCTCTCGGGTGAAACTGAAAGTGAAACCTAACTGTCTGCTGAGCTCCACTACTTCTCGCTCAGTGAAGCTCTTTTCAGATTAAAAATACCTTTGAGGAAATGTTCAGATGCCAAGTAAACTGCATCATAGCAGCCCCACTCCCCCCACGAGCGCAACTCCCTCG